TATCCAGAGGCGCTGGGTCATGACTACGTCACAGGCTGACGTGGCATCGGCAGCTCCTGTTTGAACATTTTCTCTGTGTTTTTCACATGAAGTACTCCATAGCCAAGACCTTTAAAGAGGCTGGAGAGCTCATGCGAGTTGACGAAAGTCAATGTCGGTGGAGGAAAGTGGAGTCAGCCCCGTGGAGACCAAAGTGCGGAGATCGTTGGTCCTACTTGAAGAATCATCACAGTGCCTCTGGGACAGTATCATCAAGAGAGCGGCTAGGAGGTCATCATCAACCTATATATGTGCTTTCGTCTGTTTTTTGTCTTGTGCAGGTTATCCATCTTGAGCATCAAGATTTTCATCATTGTCATTTCAGCAGGGGGTTTTCATCAAGGTCACCATCATTTTCGTAATCCTCATTTGGTTTCCGGTTGTAATCATCATCGGCTTTCTCTAATTCGTCATCCATGATTATTTATCTTCACTTTATCTTCTCCATGATCATCATCTGGACTTCTCTGTTAAAATCGTAATCATCGTCGTCTTCCTTTTTTACAGCAATAGTGAGCTATCAATCTTCCACACCAATGCCATTAGGGTATTGCAAGTCTTGATGTTCCTTAACTTATTTTCGCCAATTTTATTTCATCATCATCATCATCATCATCTACCAATCTGAATCTCTATCATCATCATCATCATCATCAATCATCATCATCATCATCATCATCATCATCATCACGGTTTCTTTATTCACTCTTTCATCATTTTTTCATCAATTAGTAGTTATCTCTGTGTTGGTGGTTATATTCTCATCTCCCAGATAGGCTATGGTCTAGTTGGTAGGTAGGGAGCGCTACTCCGCAGGGATAACACAAGGTGGGAGGTGTTTGCCCTCCAGGGAGTAGACGCAGATGAGGCGAACTGACCTGGGCTGGGGCTGGGAGATATGTATGGGGGCTCATTATCACCTGACGGAGGCAGACTAGGTCAGAGTGTTAGTTTTGAGGTACTACACCTTTTGGGGGAACTGGTTAACTCAGGATAGAAGGGAATGGGGAGGTTCTCTCTCTCGTTGGGGCTGATAGGAACTTCATGCTGATAAGCGAGGTTCGACTCAGCGGAGGCACCGAGAGGAAAAGAGGAATTGAGGGGAGAGGAGGAGAATACATGGAAGAAGGTGAGGGGTGGAGAGAAATAATCATCAGCATCGTCATCATTATCCATCATCTTTGTGATCATCTCAGGGTACTCGTCAAATTCCATCATCAGAAAGTTTTGCTGATCATGATTCTGATTTTATCAGATCCTTGATTTCTGGTTGGCATTCTAGAYTAGCTAATTTCCTAATTGAGTTTTCTTGTGTAATGGCCAGGTTGAGTTGGCGCCAGAACGACGATAGCCGGCGCTGGGGCAGTGCCCTGTAACCTGCTTGTGTAGGAGCTTGAGGCTTTGTATAGAGGTCTGGAATCGCCGAGGGAGGAAGGCAATCTGCAAGCTTGACTAATGGCTACAATCTGGCTGACGATGGTCGGAGCTAGGGTGGGTAGTGCTGCCCTGTAACCATTGTCGTACCCCCGTTCACCGTTCACGGGGTCTGTGAACGGAGCCGGTCATAGAGTTCACGGAGTTCACGACATGGGAGTTCATGGAGTTCACGGAGAGCAGTATTTTCTTTTATTTTTTTTTTCTTGGCTGGGGGGGTATGTTTTTTTTTTATAGGAGGGTGGGGGACATTGAAGGGTAACTCCCTATAATTTTTTCAAAATTTTTTTTTCACGAATAATATTTTTTTTTAATTAAAAACAAAAACAAAAAAAAATCAACCAGCCAAAATAAGCATTTTCTTTTGCTATTTTGGAGGTCATTTCGATTTTTTTTTTTTTTTCAATGTCACCACGCTGTGGGGCTTGAGGCGAATGTACCTGGGGGAGCCCAAAAAAAAAAAAAAAACACCACTCTTTAGTGGTCGGCCCGTTCACCGTGAACGGGCGTTCACAAAAAAAACACCAAATGAACGGCCGGTCACGTTCACGGGTCCAGCACTGCCTGTAACCGAGCCAGAGTGGGGTGTGAGACCGGGAAGAGGCCTGATTGGTGCACAGCACGGGCTCAATAGTGATTGGTTGTCTGGAAAGGATACAGGAAATTAGGGATAGGATAGTAATTCTGTGCTGAGTAGACAATCTTTCTGATTCGTCATCATCGAGCTCTATTTCTCTGACATCCTAAATCATCCAATCATCCCAAATTTTCATCAATTGTCAATCATCAGTGTACTCTCATTATAAGGGACGCTGGGCCCGGTTCCCAGCCTGTGAAGCTCCCCACGAATAGACTGGAGCAATCTTCAAAAAAAAAAAAAAAAAAAAAAAAAAAAAAANNAAAAAAAAAAAAAAAAGATTAGCATGGCCCCTGCCCAATGATGACACGCATCGATCGAGGTTTGGACCCAAAAAAACAAACAAAAAAAGAAGTCCCAGTGTGAATATGCACTATAAACAGATGAGGACGCATCTAACAAAATCAATCAGGCAGCAGCCTCCGAATAAAACGTTGACGTCCTTTTCCGTTCTTTTTTGCTATGCCACACTGGCAACAAGAAGTAAAAGACAAACTGAATATGAACATATGTAGCTTCAAACAAATCTTTTTTTTTTTTTTTTTTTTTTTTTTTTGGGTCGAACAAATCTTAATTGCTAGGTGGCAAACGCCAACAAGCGAACACTGCACAAATGAACTATTACAGCAAATAGCGACCGAATGCATTTCACGATCCCCCATCTTCCACCCCCCCCTCTCTCTCTCTCTCGCGCACGCACGCTGATGGACAGGGTATAATGTCAACCTCTGCCGAATAAAGAATCTCCTTCTGTGTTTAGTGGGAAGTTGGGAACAAAGAAAAAAAAAAAGTTATAGAAGCTCCCCGCAGCAAAACCTTTGTATCGATTTCTCCCCAAAATGGACTTGCTGCATTTGAGGTCCCCCAATAACTTTTCTGTTATTCTTGCTCCCCGGTCTGAGGCCTGTAGGGCCTCAGAACAGGGCTGAGGCCACGGCAGCTTGATAACCGAGGCTCAAGTTTCCGTTCCTGTAGCCACTTCGAATTTCCAGCCGGCAGCCAACCCAGTTGTACGTTCGGTACATTCGAATGGGCATAGCATACGCGCGTCACCTGGGCCGATTCAAGAAATATACATCCAAGAAAGTGCAAGTGTGCCGCAGGTCCAAAAATGACTTCCCTCCATTTTTGCATAGCCGGCGTACTTGGGCCTTCATCTCACTTGGGCCTTCACCTCACCTGGGCCCGATTGGAGAAAGATAAATCCAAGAAAGTGCATCCAAGAAAGTGCATCCAAGAAAGTGCAAGTGTGCCACAGGTCCGAAAATGACTTCCCCCACCTCACCTGGGCCCGATTGGAGAAAGATAAATCCAAGAAAGTGCATCCAAGAAAGTGCAAGTGTGCCACAGGTCCGAAAATGACTTCCCGCCATTTTTGCGCTGGGAGCATTACCCGCCCAGTGCGGCCGGAGGTACTTGGGCCTTCACCTCACCTGGGCCTGATTCGAGAAAGATACATCCAAGAAAGTGCAAGTGTGCCGCAGGCCGAACGGAAACTTCGAAAAGAGCTGAGGCCCTACCGGGGAGCAAGAATTACAGAAAAGGTAATTGGGGGACCTCAAATGCAGAGTGTCCATTTTGGGGAGATATGGATACAAAACGTTTCGCGGCCGGGAGCTTCTATAACTTTTCCCCAAAAAAAGGGGAAAAAAAGGGAAGGGAGAAGGAGGACCTGAATAGGAAGAAGAAGTAGAAGAAGCTAAGGAAGAGCCAAGGTACCTCCTCCAGCGCCCGAAAGCCGCATGGGATTCTTGGGCGGCTTATCTGTAATCGAGGGCGATGGATTATGTGCGACACGTGCGACATGCCATGAAGATGGCCCAACGGGTGTTGGACGCTACAAGGTGCTGAGGTCACAAGACATGTCCGATACTAACTGCGGTTCTTGGTAGTGGACAGATGTTCGTCAATCCGCATGCAGCTGTCACACCGGCTGTGCGACATTCGGTGCGCTGCGTGTCTCACACGCAGCTGCCTCTCAACGGGTGTGGGACACTATCTCTCACTGTTCCAAGAGTAGCGCTACACTGTCGTCTTCACCCGAATAGAACGCCAGGTGATGATCGCCCTATCTAGGCAGCAAACTGGCCCAAATGCACGAACAATGCAGCAAACTGGCCCAAATGCACGAACAATGACCGGGCGTTGTATTCGGGTGAAGGCAGTAGCCTCCGATGTTGAGAACGGATGTGTGGCAATCCGCTGCGGCTGCCAGGATCGATGTGTGTCACTCTCTCGCTGCGTATGTCACCACGTCCGTCAAGACAGATGCCCGACACCACCATCTTCCCTCGAACATAACGCACCCCGATTTTGCATGTATACAACCAGTTTTTCCCCGTTTTGGTACAGCCATATAATGAGGGTGCGTTGTTTTCGAGGGGGAAGAGGGTCGCTACCCAACCGTCGAGACTGAAAATTAACGTGGGGAAGGGTAGGGAAGGTGGCCTATCCCGTTAGGACAACAATCGGCTGGCGCTGCCAGCGCCAGCGATCACCGTGGGTCTGGTCCTTGGCCTCTACAACACCCTCTGGCCTTCTTCTTCTTCTTTTTTTTTCGCCCTTTTAAAGAACACGGCTCCGATCTATTCGTGGGGAGCAGCACGTGCTGGGAACCCGGCCCAGGAGTTTCAGCACAGCTACAGAACGGATTTCTCTCTCTCTTTTTGGAGGAGTTGTTGTAGCTGTCGTCTCTTCGGGAAAGAACAAAACAAACAAAAAACAAAAAAGAAGAAGAAGAAGAAGAAGAAGAAGAAGAAGAAGAAGAAGAAAGAGAGAAAGAAAGGAGTTGTTGTAGATGTGGTGTCTTCGACAAAGGGGAAAAAACAAAAAAGAAGAAGAAGAAGAAGAAGGAGAAGAAGAAAGAGAGAAAGAAAGAAGAACGTCGGCCCGTTTCTAGACTCAGGCCGCAAGAACGGTCACCGTTGAGTGGGCTATACACTTTCGAAATCGGAGGGAGAGTCAGAGAGAAAGGTCATTGTCACAGACATTTCCATATCGCTATCTACAAACCTATCCAAGGAGTAATCCACAACGCAATCCATAACCGGGATCACATGGATCCCGGCCATCGGCGAGCCGGTATCTACCCTGATTGCATCGACCTCTAACGGCTTGTCGTGGAGGGGCTCGATCTGGCGATCTTGTCTGCCAGCCTCTCTATTGACAGGACGATCATGATCTCCATCACGAGCTGGATGCAGCCAGGTCTCATGCTGCTGCGGTAGCCAGGTCTCATGCTGCTCCGGCAAGTCTATAACCCAGAGGTTGCCTACTTCTTCTTCTTCTTCTTCTTCTTCTTCTTCTTCTTCTTCTTCCTTGGCTTTGCCGCCATCGCCGGAACCTTTAAGCGAGGCTCTCTGACGCTGCTGCGAGAGAAACCTCCTGCGGACGCTCCTCCTTGCTCCTTCGTCTCCATAGGTGGAACGATGCGAGGGTCTCTTCCGCTGCGCGTCTATAGTCCATACTTCGTTCCATTCTTCGGCTTCGTCTCCATCGTCGAAAGCTTGCAGGGACGAGCTACCAACCTGAGACTCCATATCCGGGAGCTTACCTGCACCTCCTCCATCCCGCCTATGGCGACGTGGTGGTAGCGACGAGTATTCACGCCCCCAGTTGACGATCCGGCGATTCTCAGGATCTCCTACGTGGTGGGAAGGCGACAAGAGGCTCTCGAGCTGCGTGTCTACCTTCTGCTCTCCTCCTCCTCCCCCTCCTCCTCCTCCTCCTCCTCCTCCTCCTCCCTCTTCTCCATCGCCGGAAGGTTGCAAGGAGTTGTCAAGCTGCGAGTCTAAGTTCTTATGTCCCCTGACATCCTCTGCTCCATCCCCATCGCTGGCGGGTTGCAGTGGGTTTTCGAGCTGCGTATCTAGGATGGAGACACTCCTAGTCACCTCTCCTCTCCTCCCCTCTCCTTCTCCACCATCGCCGGAAGGTTGAGGGGAGTCGTCGAGCTGCGAGACTGAGTTCCTGTGATCCCTCCTCAGCCTCAGCGCACCCTCGTCTGCATCGCGGAGAGCTTGCACAGGGTTGTCTGGCCGCATGTCTATAATCCAGACCTTGCTCTCTTCTGGTTCGTCGTCCTCGCCATCGCCGAACCGCTCGGGTCTCTCATCTATCGCCCAGAGAGTCCCTCGTTCTTCTCCTCCTTGGCCGCCATAGCGAGGAGCTCGAAGTGAGGAGTGTTCTCGCTGGAGCGAGTTCATAATCCAGCGCTCCAGCCGCCTCCCTCCCCCGTCATCGCCGTCCTCCTCTTTCTCCTCCTCCTCCTCCTCATTGTCTTTGTTGTTGTTGACGTCATCCACGTCGTCCTCCTCGTTGTTATTACTGTTCTTCGCCGCATCAATGCCGTCGCTGTGGGTGTCGTCGTTATCGCTCAACGCTAATTGAAAGCCATCGCTTTGGTTATAGCCGTCGTTATTGCGCGACGAAGCTAATTGAGATGGAGGGCAAAGATGGGGGAGACGGGCTGACTTATTTCTAACTAGGCGATTGTGAGGGGTACTACTAAAGGGGTCAGGAGACGAAGGACAACTACCTCCTCCTCCTCCTCCTCCTCCTCCTCCCCCTCCTCCTACGGTTGCTGGTCTTCTCGAGTCCCCATCTCGATTCTTCTGACGCCAACGTCTCAAGACGAGGGCGCAAAGGGTTGCAGCCACCACCGCGCTCAAAATGATCGTGGCCGCTACTCCGTACATCGCGAATGAGGATGTAGCACGTTTGGAAGGACGAGCTGGAGCGGAAGTACTGATGCCGACGGAGGAGGAGGTCAAGCGTTTAGCGACTTCTATTTCCGTGTTGTTGCTCAGCGAGCGTGTGGCGTTACACGCATGCAGCTTCGATCTGTCGATCTCTAGCCTGAAAATTTCACCCATCTTCGAACCTACGTGAATCGTGATCCGTCGTCCTCCACAGCTAGTCCCGACAGTCTGGGCTCGTATGCAGCTACTAGTACTCCGGTGTCGTACTTGGCTACTAGGTGTGCGATGGCATCCAGACCTTCAGCTTGCCCACAAATGGCACTCAGTCTTATCCAGATCACCCTCCCACCTACATGGTTATCTACAGCGAACACATTGCACCCGTCAGCAGTCGAGGCGACGGCCCGCAAATCGTGATAACTTGAAGCCCATTGGTGCTGGCCACTGCCGTCATCAGGTGGTTGAATCAGATGTGATTTCCTGCTTTCATCAAGCACTGATGATTGTGCTGGCAAAGCTTCTACCACCGTTGAATGGTCGGCGCCCGGGGTAATGGCCCGCACCCGTCCCAGCGTTCCATTGCGCTGTAAGAAGTAAAGACACCTGCGTCTCTGCCTGTCTTCGACGAAGCTAAAGGAATCGTACACGGGCTCAACACTCTCAGAGAGAGAGCAGTTCCCTCCTCCATCCTGCTCCAAGCTTGCAAATGTCTGCAACAGGCTCCCGTTCATGATCGGATCTTCGCTCTCTGCCGCGATCGCCTCCCACACTCGCTTGCTGCTCCCTAGGTCGGCGATGCACAGGCGCTTCTTTGATGGGTTAAGTGCTATGCTACCAGCTCTTTCCAAGGCGGGACGTACGCGTATGGTCTTTCGAATGCCGGTCGTGGTCGACATGATGGCGATCCTGGACTTCCACCTAGTCCAGGAGCAGTGGGAAGACGTCGACATGTTTGCCCTTTCAGACGTTGTGGATAAGATGAGGTTCGACCCAAGCCTGGTGATCTGCATGCCATTGATACAGTCATTGTCGAACTAGCCGACGTCATTTGATGATCTCCCTCGTCGCTGCTGGCGTTCATTCTTTGAGGATGCTCTGGCCGAGCATCGGACGCCGGAGGTGGACCTTCCGGTTGATCTATGGGCCACCAGCGGCTCACGACCCGACCCCTGACATAGGCAACCGATCCGCTTTCCCCCTCCATCATCAACGGTCCCAGATCGGCCTTCCTGACGGAGACGTCCTTCCCGACGACCTGCCCTTCGCGCGAGCGGCACGTCTTCTCTAGTACGTAGTAGATCACGGTTCCCGCAGTAGTATTCCCTGGAATACCGTCGTCAGCACCCCTAGTAGTACGGTCACCAACGTCAGCAGGAGCATCGCCACCCCTACTACCTGTTCCCGCGGCTTGGTCCCGCGTACTCGGTCCCAGGACGATATGACGCACGTGAGCGCGGCCGTAGGTGCAATCGCCACTTTGGCTATGGCCTCCCAGCGTTGACTGCGATGGTAAGTCATTGACAACAAGCCTATTGCTCTTAACCAATGGTTCGAAACGTTTAGCGATCTCCAAGGCTGTGGAGCGCTCGTAAGGCCTTGCCTGCGTGCCAGAGTCGTCTGAGTCTGACGCTAAGGATCGTAGATGGTCAACGTACTCGTTCGAGCTGATCGACATCCGACGGCCAGGACAGCGACCAGATCGAGGCTTCGTCTGCTTTGCCTTCTCCTTCTTCTCCTCCTCAAAATATATCTTCCCCTCCTCAACCTGTCTCCTCGCCTCCTCCTCCTCCTCCTCCTCCTCCTCTGGCTGATAAAAGTGATCGTTCTGATTGCCAAGAGTACTTCCTACGGGAGCCGCTGCTGGGACGTAGTAGGCGGATTCACTCTCTCGCTGTTGCACTAGAGGCGAGATGGGATACGTGGTGAGCAGAGGTGAGGAGGGGAGAGCAGAAGCTTTGGCCGGGTTCCTGCTGCCACGTTGCCCGTGCCATCGCAGAACACGAGGTTAAGCACGATCACCATCGCCAGGAATAGCGAGCACTCTAGACCCGCCGGCCAAACTCGCCGGTGGGTATCGTCTGCCATATCTGACGAGCTTGGGAGGTGATGGTGGTGACTCTGCCATCTGTCAGTCAGCAGTCAGTGGATAGTGACACGTGGAGCCCTTTATCCCTCTTCTTTCTTCGATTACCATATGAAACTGATGAAGATTGCCCTCTGTACCAACGTCATTGTCATCCACATTATCATAATCACCACCGCCAGTCTGAGAGCGAAGGCAAGAACTGCTGATCTTTTTCACAATGGAACCTCTCCAACTCCCTCCCTCCTCCCTTCTTCCTCCTCTCTACGTGCTTCTCTCTTCACGACCTCCCCTAGCCAAGCTGCCAGTTTTTTCCACTTCCTTTTGGGAGCAAGCCCACCACCCAGCCTCTCTCGGCCCTCCTTCCTTCCCCGTCACTTCGTCTCCTACGTTCTCTCTCTCTCTCTCTCTCTCTCTCTCTCTCTCCAGCTCAACCAAGGAGCTAACTTTTATCCTACCTCCTTCCCTTTTCTTTCCGTTGCCTTTTCATTCTTTTCATGGGGGGGTGCAGGGGGTGGGGGTGCAGGGGAGAGCGAGAGCGTTCACTTTCTCGCAAAAAAAACAAAGGTTAGTTGGCAGGGCATAGCCTACCGGTCTTTCCTGCAGTCTTGTCTGCCTTGGGTGTCGCCCGTGTGCTCGGCTGCCTTCCCTACTCCAAGATATCATGGTACTTCTGCGCCCTACTCTGCCCTCCTCCCTCTCTTGTCCCTCACTCCTCTACTCTGCTTTCAGACTCCTTCCAAGCTGATTCAGAACTACAGTCTTCCCCCGAATACAACGTACGGCCATTATAGCTGAATTTAGACTCAAAGATACCCGAAATTCGGCTATAATGACCGTACGTTGTATTCGGGGGAAGAATGTAGAACACTCACCAACTAAGATAAAAGAAGAAGAAAGAAGAAGAAGAAGAAGAAGGAGAAGAAGAAGAAGAAGAAGAAGAAGAAGAAGGAGGAGGAGGAGGAGGAGGCACACACCCAAGCCTAAACGCAGCTGAAGAGCCCACCGCGAACACACTCTCATGGGATACGTGAACACGGGACTTTTTCTACTAAGTTATGGACGTAATTGCGGTCAGATGCATCCACAACCGTTCTACTGTCAGTATGCTCTCAGCTGCTCCAGCATCTCTCTTTTCTTCCGCAATTAAGGGGGAAGCACAGGTAAATCTGGGGGTCCGGAAAGGGAGGCGCAGCCACTGGCAAAATGCTCGGTGTCAAAAAAAAAAAAAAAAAAAAAAAAGGAAGAAGCTCGGTCTTCCGAAAAAAAAGCTCGGTCGTTGTGTTAACCGGGGGCCAAGTCCCACTTGCGCTGATTCTTCATTTCTGGCCGCTGATCATCGTAATCGACAGTCAGAAGTTGAGAATTCGGGTACCAAGTGGGACTTGGCCCCGGGTCCCCACCGGCGGTCCCACCCTACTCGCAGATCCCTGGGGCCGGGGGGGGTATCCTCTTGATCTGAGAGGTAGCTATGATTGCAGGGGTCCCCGTAGGCTTAGGAGCTGTGGTAGGTAGGTAGTAATGGTGAATTCGAGATTCGAGAGAAGAATATAGCATGGTTTTTTTTTTTTCTCTCTTTCGTTTTTTCGCTTTCTAATCCGGAAAGAAAACGTGGTTGTCGTGGAGGAGCCAAGAAAAGAAAAACAAAAAGACGAAGAGGAAGAGCCCGAAGGAGCCGGGCAAGTCCCGGGCAGGAGGTGCACGGTTGAAGGTGAGCTTCCCCGCTGTCCGACGCGCCAGGTCACTGTACCACGTGATTCCCCCCCTCCCTCTCCCCCTCCCCTCCAACCATCCGCGCTGTGCTTCGCCTAGGTTGCATAGGCCCCTCTGCTTCACACTTCTATCCCCCCTCCCCCTGCTCCTACTTCCCCTCCCTCACATCCTCCTTCCCCTCCTCCCCCCGCCCTCCTTTCCCTCCTCCTTCCACTCTTCCTCCTCTCTCTGTCGATCTCGTCATTGAGAGCGTCCTTGGCCGCCAAGTGGTAACTCCTCTTCAACTCACTTGACACCTCTCTCGTGCCCCGTCGTCATTAACGACCACAGAGTCCCCAGCTGTCAATGAGGAAGGGCTCTCTTGGTAGCCGCCGTCCTGATCAGAGCAGATTCTCGTCCCGATTTAGGCCCCCCACCAATCACGCTGCCTGTCACGCTGCCTGGTGACACTGCTCGTTTGCGCCTGACAAGCGATGTCACAGCCCCACCTTGGAATCAGGTGCCGGCTCTGTAGGACACGCCCGTGCGCCCTGATCCTCCTCTTCTTCATGTTGTTGGTTGTTTGAGTAACTTCGTTAATATCTGTTTTCTTCTTTTTGCCTTTTCTAGGACGATGGCCTTCGCCTTCTCCTGTTTGTTTTCTTTATGTTTCTTTTCCAGGGGAGATTTTTTTTTTTTTTTTTTATGTTTGGTGTGTCCCTGATATATCAACCAATGATCCCAGAAATCTGAAGTCATGGTCATGGCGCTTGTTAGCGCAGCTGGTCTTGGATAGGTTGTTTTAGGGGAGGCACTGTTAGGGCCTCACCACACCAGACTGAGTGTCTAAGCCGTAAGATATTCGGCAATTGTCAGCCTCTTTTTTGGGCCACGGATCAGATATCAGACCATTTTCCACATTCATGGTTTCGACACAAAGGCTGCCGTCGCCACACAGCATGACGAACACCCAGGATAAGCAAAGTTTCGTTCTTAGAAAAGGGAAAAACATAAAAAACTAACTTGGTCATGGTCATGGCGCTTGGTAGCGCAGCAGGAGGTACTATTGATACGAACAGAACAATAGAAAATAGGGTGGTCTAGGCAAGAATGATGATCTGGAAGA